TTTTATGAATGCTATTGTTTCCCCCAAACTTTCCCCTAAGTATTCCTCATTATACACCCTGCCAGTACAGCCTCATTGATTCAAGACCATCTGCCCAGATACCTAGCCTTAAAAGAAACTTTTCCCAACTGGAAGAAAGAAAGGGAGGAGAAATGAAAGGAGGAAAAATCACCATTAAGAATGGAAGGGGAAGGAAGGCAGGGAGGGAGGGAGGGAGGAGATGGGAAGAAGGAAGGAAGGAAGGAAGGAAGGAAGGAAGGAAGGAAGGAAGGACAGTGTTTTGTGGACAATGGTTTGAACGTATATGCTGAAGCTGAATGCTAGGCTCAGCTGGTTGTACCTGGCTGAAGAGACTTTATGTGTGATGGGAGAGAGTGGTTCTCAGCCAGAGATGGCAGTTGGGAAAACATGCAGCAACTGTCTGGCTTGAAAGCCACCAAGGGTCCATTAATTCATGAGAAGATCAGGGGAAAGAAACAGCAAGTTTAAATCACCATGATAATTGCAGTCATTTGCACCACCTCACTGGCAGTGGACTATCAGTTGCTTTATACAGTTTCATTCGTGCCTGCATTAAGGTTTTTTCTCTAGTCAAGCCCGGTCAGTGAAGCTTCTGCCAAGCTAGCTAAGGGGCTGATCTAAGCAATAAAGAGTTAGAAGTATCTCGTGTTTGCCCTGGCTGACAGCTGGAATCAGAAGTACCAGTGGTTTGAACTAGGACCCTGACTTGAGTGGAGAGCCAGAGAAGAGCCTTACAATTAACAAAGCACAATATTTATTTATTGTTCTTGCTTTTGAGGTGTAAGCCACGTGGAGTTGTATAAAATGGGGTGCCTCTAAAATTTACATGTATCTATCTATTAAATCAAATCAAATCAAATCTTTATTATGCTCATAGACCAGCATAAGGAGAGTGGGGTATAGTCATTGAAAATAGAGGATACGTCAGAGTAAAAATAAAAATCTAAAAAAAATATGAAAAGCTAGAAGATATAAAAGATACATGAATTAAAAACCAGAAAGTATATATATATATTTTATTATTATTAAATTTCTCCCCCGCCCATCTCCCCCCAATGGGGGACTCTGGGCGACTCACACAAA